TCGCGTTCAGACTCTTCCTGAAGAATGCCCTCACCTGTGCCAGGTCGTAGTCCTGAACGTCCACCTCGACGCCGTCCTTGGCCAGCAGCTCGCCCGCCTTCTGCGCGAAGACTGGAGTGCGAAACGGGCTGGCCGCCAGCGGGTTGAAGACGAAATTCAGCTTCCACACTTGCGGCTGCCCCGTCTCGGCGTAGCCCTTCTTGAGCCTGAAGTACGGGATAACCTCGCTGATCTCGTCGATGGTCATCGCGTCGAGCAACGCGTTCTGCTGCTGGATCTGCTTCCGGAGCTCCGCGGGAATATCCTCGCACTGCTGGAGGCCGTCGACGAAGGAGGTGGCGACGTACACGTGAGGTGGGCCCTCCATCTTGCCGCCCTCTTTCGCCTTCTTGTTGTGCTCCTCGCCGGCGCGCTGACCCGCCTCCACCGCGTCGTTGGCCCCTGCCCCGATCGCGAAATCCCACGCCGACGCGATGAGCATGCGGATGTGCTGCGCGTTGTTGAGCGTCAGCTTCTGCACTGCCTGCAGCTGGTCGGCAAAGTCGTCGGATCCATGCTTCTTGCCTCCACTCTTCGACCGGTCGCCAGTATTCGCTGCCTTGGCCGCTGGGGCGTCGGCCGCGGCTGCAGCCGCCATGGTGTCGCTCCGGGGGCGGCCGCCGCCAAGTCTCCACATCGCGCGGCCCGCCGAGATGAGAACGCACGCGCAACAAATACTGATCGAAATCCGCGGCGACCTCGCCGCAGACCAAGCACTCGAGCGAAGAAGGCTCATCTGGAGAGAAAGTAAATGAAGTCGTTCTCGTGGGGCACTTTTTTGGGCTTGCTCTGAGCATCACCTGAACGCGCTGTAGGCGCCCAGCCCTAGTCGAAAAGGCTTGTTTGCACCACGGACACACATTTGACTGGATCAATGCGGGGACCTTTTGTCGAAGACCGCGAGCGTGCGTGATATGGGAGCTCAGACCTCGAAACGTGGCGAAACACTGGCCGCAAACGTCGCCGCTGTCGGTCTCGTGGGGGCAGATGAAGGAGGGCACGGGGATGTCGACATCGATCTCCGTCGTAACGCCGTCTCTCGGCGGCACCGCGGTACCAGCAGACGCCCCGGGGGGAGGGATGGCGACTCCGACACGCCGTGCCCGGAGCACGGCAGGATCGCACAGCCGGAACCGCGACCCTAGGCTCTCGTCGGTGAAAAATTCGCACACGCTAACTACATCTTCCCACGCCCCCGCGAAATCGTCGGAAGCCGCCGCAAACTCCTCCAAATCCTTCTGAAACATGCGTGGCCACGGTGCGCTGTGCGTTCCTAGTCGTCCGTCCACCATCCTTGGCCGACCAACTTTCTCATCCAATCGCGTGGTGCCGTAGATGCCACCTAGCACGTGTGCGTGGTAAGCAGGGTGACGGGACATGCTTTGCAACCATTTGAGTCTTTGTATCCTTAGCTCTATGTGGGCCGTGGCCAGCCTCCAATGCAATAGCACCTCGTCGTTCGTCATCGTTCGATTGCTCCCGTTAACATCCTTCCTCGCCTTGCCCTTTCATCGACGACCGCAATAACTTGATCAACACGGTGTCAATATGGTCTGTGAACTTCGTCGGGATCACAAACGAGGTAAGCCCAGGCAGAGCTGCATTCTGCACAAATGCGATGAACAACGTTCGAAGCAACCTCAATGGGAAACTCTGGAACCACACGGAGCCAAGGCTGCACCATCCGACCTTCGCCGCACGCGTCCGCTTACTCACCTCCGTGCGCAGGACCCCATCGTATGACAAAGTGGGGCCTAGCAACCGAGCTTCACGGCACACCCGGCCCTTCACGGCGCTGTCAGAACTCAAGCGGCATGCGCAATCCCAAGAACCACACCCACGTAACGATTCGTAACGATATGATATGGTTGGTTTTCCCCTCGTTGAGCATGTGGTCCGTTTCCTGCAGGTGTTGGTTCAGCCGTCCCGTCGCGAAGTTGAGCTGTCATGCCACCCTCGCGGCGTTCACGGCGTAGGAGTGGATGTGGACGCGGCTGATATCGTCGACGAAAGTGCCGATGCCTAAGTCGACCTGGACCCCGGAGATCGGGCAAGTAGTCTCGAGCCACGTGTAGCTAACGTCCGCCAGCTTTAAGGCCTTGTTCCACTTGTCAACGTTCGGGGCGTAGACGTCTACGAAATCCCCAGCCGCGATGCTGTGCCCCATGGTGGTGCCCGTCCCAGGTTTGAACACAGCTCGGTCGTCGAGGCCGTTCACGTGGATAGTGATGCCGTCCACGGCTTGGTTTAACAATCTCACGTCATGCCGCCTCCCTGTGTCCATATGCAACTCACGCAGCGCCGTGCGCCTGGTGCACGCGAAGGCGCTGGTGCCGTCAAAATTGGTCAGCGTGTGCGACACCCCGATGTCGAGGCAACGCCATTGGCTACTCGAGAGTGCGAGCAGACATCCTTCGCGCCGACGTCGTCGGTAGGCTCCGTGCGCCCAAGGTTCCGGCACGGGCCGCTGGGCTGCGCGATGAACTGCGCCAAAGAACGCCATCCCGAAGCAGTCAAAACAGTGCAAGACGCGGAGGCCCTTCATGCCCAGCTCGCCGTTCCCTTTCGGCACCACGAACGCTTGCGAGCAGAGACTTGATGGTGGTGCGGTTGCCGTTATCCTCATAAATACGAGCAGGTCGTTGTACCGCCCTGTGAACACCTCGGGCGCGAAACTGTTCGCGTCGTATCCTAGACCATGGCCGCGCACGTTCTGCCACTTCTCAGGGTCGATCGCAAGGGCGAGGGCCTCGGCGAACACTCCCCACGCTGGACCTGCACGTCGTTTTGGGCACCTGCGGAGGTATCGCAATTGCCCAGCCCTGTCCTTCAATGCTTGCCGCTTGGCGTCCTCTACAGGCATGCCCCATGTACAGTCAGTGTGTCGGCCGCTCCATTGGGCCCAATCGATTTTCTCACACGACATCCCTCCCTCCCCGGCGGCAGCGCTAAGACCAGCCTCCCACTCGGCACATGTGAGCCCTGGTCGGTGTCCGAACACGTATCTCTTCTTTGGTCCACGCTTGGTCCACGCCAGCTGTACTCGAAGACGGTGAAGCTCGGCAAACCTCCGGCGCCTCCAAGCGTCCTGCACTTCCCCAATCAGGTGCTCATCCCGCTCACGACGCTGTCGACGCCGAAGGCGTTGCAGTCTGCGGGTGGTCAAGGTGAGTTCGAGGCAAATGCTTTCGAAGTCGGCGTGCGGGAGCTCTTCACGCAGGTCGGCACGACGTCGCATCAGCTCCAGCCTGGCTTCCCGCAGCTCCTGGTATTCAGCTGACCGCTGCTCGCTACGAGGGAATGCAATTACTGTGGCCTCCAGGATGCTGTTCGACAGGTGGTCCCAGCAACCTTGGACATCAAGATCCTCAATCATTGTGCTCCAAACTTCATGAGGCACTGCGGTAACGGCTGCCTCCAATGCTACGAAGAACTGCTCTCGCTCGTGGCCGTGCTGGTACGCCTGCATCAATCGATCACGGTCCACAGCCGGAGTGTTCAGGGGCTTGACAGGGTGCAGCTTGTCTATCTGCATCTCCATCATGAGCGGTACGTGGTCGTCCAAATCAACCGATGTGGTTTTCTGAAGACGCCTCCCGAGACCCACCAGCGTATGCATCTTAAGTATTCTCTGCTTGGCCACTGTCGGCACCAATCTGTGGTCGATTTTGCTCGTGTAACCTTTTCTGTAGAATGTAGGCCCCGTGCGCCAGTAAGAACTGCCAATGCTGAGATGATGATCTTCAGCGAAACGCCGGATAGCTGTGGAAGTGGCTGTCTCCTCACCAGGCTCGACCACCCCCACCACCCCGTCCCCGAGCACGTAACGCCTTCCCGCGATGTCTCTCCGAAGCCCGAACTTACAATTCATGTCTCCTCCGATTATCACCATGGTGTGGTGCCCGCATTTATCCAATTCCCTTTCGATCCACCCGTATTTTCGAAATGCATGTTGCAAGAACTGCAGGCTGTGTTCCTCGAGGGGGGAGGTAGACGGCGAAGCAACAGACCGACACAGCATGGGCTCGAAATAAAACTTTCCCGACTCGACCTTGGATCCCCGTGGCTTTTGATGGGGCGACGACCTGCTGAATGGACCTGTCGACCCGGCCCCCGAGCAGAATGGCAACCCCACACGACTTATTGACCCACTGCGACTTCCTCCACCCAAAGGAGATGCATAGGTGATGGGGCAAGTGATGCTGAGAGCTGTCGAAATCGATGTCGACATGGCGGCCCGTCCCAGAGAGAAGCAACACGTCCGTCGTCTTCACTGCTGCGCTGATCTCCTCCAATCTTGCATGGTCTGCATGCCCCACGTTGTGTGCAATCACGCGCAGTACCATGAACGACCAAACACAGACGCCACCTACGAAGTGCGAGCTGGCCCCTGTCGCCGAACGTCCCATCGCTCGCGTCTCGTGCACATGATGCTGTGTGCGTGAGGATCGCTGTAGGAGCACGCGGTCGCTCGAGGCAGAACAGCTCCTATCATCATCATCATCATCATCATCATCATCATCATCATCATCATCATCATCATCATCATCGTCACCATCATCATCATCAGCAGCAGCATCAGCATCAGCATCAGCATCATCATCATCATCAGCATCATCGTCAGCATCATCATCATCGTCACCATCATCATCATCATAATCATCATCATCATCATCATCATCATCATCATAACTTACGTTCCCCGGGAAAATCTTGTATAATCCCCGCCAGAACCCCGAACTTTATTATCCCAGGGGGATTATTATCGCCCGTGCTCGGTTAATGCGGCTCTCTGGCTGCCGTTCGGGACGATCTGGGCACCCCCGGGACGCTCCCGGCGAGGCGCAGCCGCTGCAACGCATCCCGCGGCTGAATCCCTTCTGACTCACCACACGGTGTGGTCACTGCACCACTCGGCAGCGTAGCCAACTTGGGCCACCCGCGGCCGCCAGGGTGGGGGCCTGCTGCAGGTCCTGGCGCAGGCGCCCGGCGTCGGCGGGCGAGCCCTCCGCGAAGCCCCTGGGGGGGAATAGCGATGGGGAGGAGCGAGGAGGGAGGAGGTGGTGGGAGGAGGAGGAGGAGGCGGAGGACGAGGAGGAGGAGAAGGAGGAAGAGGAGGAGGAGCCGGAGGAGAAGGAGGAGGGGGGGGGGAAGAGGAGGAGGCGGAGGAGAAGGAGGAGAGGAGGAGGAGGAGCAGGAGGAGGAGAAGGAGCAGGCAGGGGAGGAATGGAGGGAGGGAGGAGTTGAGAGGAGAAACAAATGGGAGGAGGAATTGGGAGGAGGAGGAGGAGGAGGAGGTGGATGAGGGAGGCGAATGAAGGATCGAAAATGAAGGAAGACAAAGTGGAGGAGGCGGAGGAAGATGAGGAGGAGGAGGAGGAGGAGAAAGAGGAAGAGGACGAGGAGGAGAATGAGAAGGAGGAGGAGGAGGAGGAGGAGGAGGAGGAAGAGCCCACGTACCCAGGGGGACGAATCGTGCCAGTATCAATGTGGATGGGGACGCGCGAAACAGGACCGCAGGAGAGGCAACAACACGTGCCTGGGAGGCTTGACGCGACAATGGAGCTGACTGCCTAGCCTGAGAAGTCCCGCTACACTGTCCGAACGAATAAGCTTGGGAAATGAACCAACTTCGCAACTTGTGGGGGATATGGATACTTAGAACTGTGAGAGAATGGGCGCGAACGCATAAAATCTCTGACACGGCATATGCATCCTTGGATCTGGAACAAAGTCTAACCAGAGGATCAACAGGAAAGTGCACGCGATCAAGGAATACGAAAATATCGAGCAAACGGAGGCAGACAATAGAGCTGGCAACGTAATGGGGTAATTCACGCAGACAAATTGACAGCCGAGAAGCGCCAGTACCCGCATTTGGGTTTGCAACACCCATGCGGTGGCGGTTGCGATGCATGCTTGGCGTTGGCTGGTGCACCTCTGCGGCCTCGCCAATCCTAGCACGCGCGCGCGCAGCGGCCAGCTAGTTTGGCGCCGCGCTTTGTTTGTAAAAAATCCGTGTTGCGAAACCATGTGATTGTTTTAAATTGTGTTTGGACACTCGGCTCTGGTATCCTTGCGATACCGAAGGTTCTTGAAGGATTCTGGCATGCGCGCGCGACGACGCGCGCGTGTGCACTTCGCCCCATGTGTTGCAACAGGTGTTCAGCAACTTTGGATTGTTGATAAACGAGCGCGCGCGTACTATTTTTGCATCGAATGTCGGGGGGGGCCGATACCGGCCTGACTGGCATGGTACGAAGTCATATTCAAGGCCGGACGATGGGGCAGAATCGTATGCACATTGCAACACGACAAAAAAGGGGTCGATAATCCGGGGGGGCGGGGGGGAAGAATATTCCATTAACCGTTTATTAAAACATCCAACGCTCAACTTGAAAGCGCCCACCCCACAGCTCGCGAAATCATCCCGCCCGCCCGCCCGCAACTTGGTTTGCAAAACCCATGCGGTGGCAATTGCGATGCATGCTTGGCGTTGGCTGGTACATTTCTGCGGCCGCGCCGACCCTACCACGCGCGCGCAGCGGCCAACTAGTTCGGCGTCGCCGACGCGGCCACGGGCGGCGCTGACCGCTGGGCAAATACCAGAAGGCACTTCAATGCAAGTCGGCGACCTTGGTTGGGCGCGGTCTCGTGGTAACGTCAACAACGGTATAAGCGATGATGATAATAGCGATGCTGGTGCCGATGTTGAAAGCGACGACGGCGCGGCCAGTGCGGGCGCCGATGCTGATCACGCCGACGACGATGACGGCGTCCTGGCGTCGGCGATGCAGGCTATGGAAGGATATCGACATGCGCGCGCGGCCGACGCGCGAGAGTGGCCCGCATGGTCGAAGTTGACACGGATGGGTCCGCCAGAAAGCGAACGGAGGCTTTTGTTTAGAAAACTGATGATGCGATACCATGTGCTTTTAATTTGATTCCGGGGAACTCCGTTAATATCATGTTGTTCGCAATGGCTCGCGCATTCACGTGCTCGCGCAAGCGGCCCGCCTGCCCGCCCGCAGCGTGGCGAGCGCAACCCACGCGGCGGCGATTGCGATGAGTGCGCGAGGTTGGCTGGCGCATCTCTGCGGCCGCGCCAACCCTAGCACGCGCGCGCGGCGGCCAGGACGCGGCCGCGGTGGGTCTTACCGCCAGGCACTTCCCAGCGGACACCTCAATGCGCGTCGGCGACTTGGGCGGCCGCAGTATCGTGGCGACGCCGACAGCGGCGATGATGATGGTGGCGACGTTGGTGACGACGATGACAATGGCGACGGCAAGGCCAGTGGCGGCGCCGATGCTGATCGCACCGACGACGATGGCGGCGCCCTCGCGTCGGTCATGCAAGGTCATGCGCGCTGCCGACGCGCGAGGAGTGGCCCGCGTGGTATTCTTTGACACAGGTCGCGCCCCCCCCCCCCGCCCCTGCCCCCCCAGCGCGCGCGAGGGGCCCGCTTGGCAGAACTAAATGGAAACCTTGGAAGCCCAATGGTTTCCCAAAGTAGTCGCAGGAGGGCGAGCGCGCGCGCGTTTGGAAACCGATGCTGCAAAACAGCTCTTCTTATATGGATTCGAAGCACTTGCTTTTGACACCCTTGCGAAACCGAAAAGGTGTTTGAAAGATTTCCGGCACGCGCGCGCAACGACGAGCGCGGGGGCACTTCGCCCTTTGTTTTGCCCAGGAGTCTCGGGGCAGCGAGCGCGCAAGGGCGTTCGAGCGACTCCGACGCGCGCGCGCGAGAGGCCCGCGAGGTAGCAAGTTATGGAAATCTTGGGAAAACTCATGGTTGTCTGAAGACTCCACAAGAGCCCGAGCGCAAGTTTGTTTCAACTGGTCTTGTCAGGAAACACTGTTTTTACATTGTTTCCAAGACCCTCGATTTCGAAATCCTCGCCACACCGAAGATTTTGATGGATTGCGGCACGCGCGCGACAACGCGCGCGCGTGCACGTCGTCGCATCTGTTGCAAGGTGTTCTTGGAAACTTATCATCCTAGAATAACGAGCGGGCGGACGATTTTTTTTGGCCGGGGGGTTGAAGAGAGGGAGGGGGGGGTGCCGGCCTGCCTGGGATGGTGTGTGCACTATATAGATGGATCTATATATATATATATATATATATATATATATATATATATATATATATATAGATGTATATATACATATACATATATGCATCGTGGATGGACGATGGGGCAAGATCATATGCAAATTGCAATGCGAAAAGGGGGCCGTGAGATCTGGCGGGGTGGGTGGCTAAGATCCGAATTCTCTGTGAGAAAGGAGAATCCACGCTGCAGCGAGGGTCTTGAATCTCTTGAAACGTGACCAAACTCGCATGTGGTGGTCGAAGATGTCAGAACTCGTTTCAAATCCTGCCTAGTTGGCTTCCTCATAAGTCGCCTCCATCTGCACTTCGCATGACTGTGGCCTAAATGTTGATATTGTTAAGCTTGCTCGTGCTTGGCCGGTAGGTCGGACCGGTCGGTTTCAGCAGTGCCCTCAGTTGAGCAGGTGTCCGAATCTGTTCCTGCATCAAAGGGTGAATCGTTTCGTTGGTCCGCTGAGCCCTACGTGGCGGTTGTAATAGGTGATGACCCGTTGGCTGCGGCAACAGCCAAAGAATTTGCGGTCGGATAAGCCGACTGTGCGGCGCCAACTGCTTAGCCTAGGAGCGTCGCGTGTGCGGTCACTCCAAATGTTGCCCGATGCGGCGGGCGGTATGCCGCTGACGTCGGCATGGGACGTCCCAGCAGCTTTGCCACTGAAGATCCCCACGGCGTTTCCAAGTGAGCGCACAGCTAAGTGCCCATAGCTGCGCACTCACTCAAGTAGTTGATAGCAGTGTGGTTGTGTTCGAGGCATCTGGTTGTGAAGGGGCTGTAGGAGCTGGAATGCTCGAGAGGTGCCGACCCCTAGAGCTCGGAACAACAGGAGCGTCAGGATCTGAAAATTTGGGATGTTCAGCCCTGCTGAATCGGCTTCAAACCATAAAAATGCGAGTCGAGTTGGTACCGGATCGATACGTCCGCCCCGCTCGACCCTGAAGTCGACGAGGGCTGTACCTCGAGCGAACTTTCGTTCATCATCATTGTTTTCGAATTTTGTGCTGGGGAGACAAATGATGTAGGTAACACCGCCATTACTCTGGCCCTGCAAGGTTACTCCATGGCTGATGATTGCGGATGCTAATCGCATCTCCAAGGTCCTGGCTAGGCCGCCCAAACCCCGTTGGTGGGCGGCGGCCTGTTGTGGTAGACTCGTAGATCCATTACTCACGTTCAGCTACGCGTGGATTTCGCGAGCGACTTTGCGAAAAGGGAACGTTGCCTGCAGGGGTCCAGAAAGCCCCTGTGGTACTTGTTTCGTCCAGTCGTCCCCGTTGCGTGCATCCGATCTATAGGCCAAGAAACACCCATGTGACTCCACAAATGGGGAATGTGCTGTAATGCATGTTCCTGTCAGTGTTAGTGGTGTCGCGGTCGTCATGTTTGTAGGCGCGTGTGTCCGCCAGCCTGCTTATCTTGAAAATTGGCTGACGTGGCCGTCAGCCAACGGATAAGTGTTGGGTGCGTGTTGGTATCTTGCGACTGTCCGGGTTGGAGCATAATGGGTGAAAGCCGTTGCGTACACGTGTAAGCCGACGTGGCTGTCGGTAGATGGCAGATCACTTGTAGGCATGTTTCGTTGCTCTGCTCCCTGGAGGGAAGCCGCCGCAACATACTGTACCATTTTAGAAATAGTCCGCCATTCTGTGCCGTAGGATACCAGTATCTGGGTCAACCCCGCTACCAAGTCGAAGGTGGTGTGGTAAGCCGTACCATACTTTACATATCAAGCGTACTATGGTATGCCATGACTCATCCATTCAGTAAGTATGAGCGGGTAGGCAAGAGACAAGACATGGGAGTAGAGGGTGGATTGCCGAAGGAAATGGACGTCTCCATTTCTCTTTACTCGGATGCGATTGTGCCTCACGTATGAGGAAATCAAATAATAGAGCGGCGCCATTTGAGCCCAAACGACGTCGGGACGCCGGCGCGTCGCTCGTATCTCGCTTCTGACCTCTGCATGGAGTGTGGCGCCACCAGGTTAGGGTTTCACACCCCTCGGCGGTTGAGGCGAACCCTCGAGCTTGGCGCTGGCGGCAGCCCATCTGAGCGCCTCCGAGGTGGCCCACGCCAGCACGACCGAGAAGGCCCAGCAGGATCCCAACATCGCCCGCACACAGCCTCCGAGCCACCAACAGGAGACCAGGAAGACCCCAATAGCGACCCAAGACAAGCCCACAAAGCGGGAAACTCGACATACAGTTGGAGCCCCCCTCCCCAAGATAGCCTCCGAAACCGCCAGCACAGCAGGCTCCCAAGAGCCACGCAAGAGACTCCCATAGTCTCCCAAGAAGCCCCCAGGAGGCGTCCAATCACCGCGACAGCCCGCAAGAATCTACCATTAAGGCCTCCAAGAGGCCCCCAAGAGGCCGTCCGACCGACGCCAAGAGATCCAGGCGCGGTGGCGGGAGGGGACGAGGGCCACTAGACTCAAGGCCCCCATAGCTTGTGCAGAAGTGCTTGCGTGACGAAAATTCCGGTTGGGCGCGAGGTAATGGGGGGCGATACGTGAGGGGGGGGAGGAGAAGGTACCCCAAATGGGGGCGATGAATGGGGGCGAGTACTGGGGGCGATAGTGGTGGGCGATTCATGGGGAGGGGGGGGCGGGAAAAGGGGGGGGATCCGGAGCCCTAAAGGCCCCTTTTGCGGCAGCCCTCGCCGCCCCCCTTGTATCGCCCCCCCCCCCACCCACCATTACGCGTCTCCCGGTGGACTTCGGTCCGACTCGCGGGCCCCGCGAAACCGCTCCGAAGCCACCAGAGGCCCAGGAAAGTAGACCGAAGATGGCGAAGGCGTCCCAAACATGGCTTCCAAGACAGCCCGAGGAAGTCACTGATGGCCTCTAGAAAGCCCAACAGAGCCAAGAGGACCCCAAGTTGGCCCAAGTCGGTTCCAAGGCGGCCCGAGATGGCCCCCACGTGGCTCACGACCGCCTCGACACTGCCTCAGAGGCATCCAAGACGCTCAGACACGCCTCAAAGAGGACGATCAGAGGGACCACCAGAGGCCCAAATCTCAGCATGCAGCATGGCCTGACAATGTTTGATGATGTTAGTGTGCTCGCCTTAGTGATACCCCAAGACGACCCAAGAGGTCTGCACGAGGGCCCCGGCACTGCCCACGAAGGCCTCAAGATGGCTAAAGAGATCCGCAAGACGGACCAACAGGCCCAAGACAGCCCCAAGGCAACCCTAAACTGCCTCAAGAGGAGCCCGAGACGGCTCAATGAGGCCTCCAAGACAACCTTTGAAGGCGCCACGTGGCCCATGAACGCCCCAAGACGGCTAAGAGTGCCACCAGCAGGCCAAAGAGGGAGGCCCAAGCGAAAAGCAAAAAGATGGCCAAAGAGCCATACGTCAGCCCTACAAGCCTCCGAAAACATACTTTGAAACGCCGTTCAAAATCGAAGCGCCCGATAGTTCGGGCACCAGATTTCGGACACCCCTGCGCGTGGGCCAACAACAACATGCCAATATTGAAATAACGCCGACCGCACAAGCGCCGAAAACAAGAACCGTCAACTTATGTCTGACGAGTCTTGCAAGATAGCACCAGAGGGCCGCTCCCCACTGTTCCATCCAGCGGTTCCCTCACCAGCTGAGCTTCCTGAGTGCATGCTGTCTATGTTCCCCAAGTGATGAAACAAGTGTGTAATGGTACATTCAACATGCCCGACGTGAAGTGCATGAAAACGATCACTGGGAAATATGCTGACGAGCCAGCGGTACCGACGTCGATCTCTAGGCGGCTGTCAAATGGCCGTCTGCGCATGCTTTACATCTGCCAGGGTCCGTAGGTTGCTGCGGCTCCAGCTGCGGCCACTTCGTGCATTCACCCGCGCAAGCTGGGATCAGTCCTTATCGAATCCGGAAATCGGATCGAAGAGAAATGTGCGCCAAATCGGGCCAGATCATGCATCGGGACGGAATCCATATCGAATCGGATCGGCCGCACCAAGATGCACAACAGCGCCATGCAAGCATCGTGCCGCACCAGGCCGTCGGAATACCATAATCGAATCGGATCGGGCTGGTCAGAAGCGATGTCGAATCAGATCGATCGCGTCGAAATAGCCCCTGCAAGCACGCACGCGCCCATACAGGAGAGACGTAGGGGCAGGCATCTTGCTGTCAGGAATCTTGGGGCACATTCTTTTTCGATCCTTGAAAATCAGAATCAAGATGCCCCAGGCCTTCTATGGGTCCCCCTGGGCCATCGGGGGATCGGAACGTTTCAGTTGGGCAGCTGCTGTCCAGCCGATTCCATTTTTGACCCTGAGATCTGGCGTTGCGAAAACATTCAACGTCGTGGGAAATCCGCCGACCTGGTCGACGTGTGTGAGACGTCTGTCCGTTTGAGCCGTCGCCGTCGCCGTCGCCGCCCCTTTCCCTGGGCCCTCCTCCGCAGGCGATCCAGCCGGACGGAAATCCAACTACGTCGCAACTGATTCGAAGGGAAGCCTCTTCCCTTTGATCCCTTCCCTGCCAGGGGGTGGGTAAAACAGGGCTAGGATCGGGATGAATCGCTCCAGAGCGTTCCGGAGCGTTCTCAGAGCGTTCCGGCGGCCGCGGCGCCCAGCACATCCTCCAAACCCGCCGATTCTCAGAGATTTCGAATTATCCCGATCCGATTTTGTCCCGATCTTCGCGTCGTTGTAGTGGGGGTCGCGGAGGGAGGTCGCAGGGGGGGGGTGCGGCGGGGTCCCGGGCGGGGGGGGAGGATACCGGAGGGGTCCTCAGAGTCGTGACGTCCCCCAGGGAGGCCCCCCCTTGTGCGCAAGGGGGGCAAGGGCGTGGCCCCCACGTGGACAAGAGGAAGTCATTTTTCACAGGCGCCATTCAGGCTCGACGAAAAATGCCTTGGTTCCTGGAGCTCTGGCGACAAGGGGAGGTCAGGACTCCTCCTCCCCCAGCCCCCGCCCCCCCTGCGGACTGGGATTACCACCACGCACCCCTCCTCGCGGACTCCCCCCCCGCCCCCTGGAGGCACCCACCGCACTCTTACCTGCTCTTGCGGGGTGCTGCGTATTTCCCACATGCCTCCGAGAGGCCTCAGATCCGCTCCCAGGCGGCTCCAAGTGGCCACGGAGATCCCCAACAAGTCCCCCAAGAGGCCCCCCGACAGCCCAAGAGGCTCCCAAGAAAGCCCCAAGAAGGACTCCAGAGTGTCAGCGACGTCGTCGTCGTCGTCGCCGTCGTCGTCGCCGTCGTCCCCATTCAAGGTCGGCGGCAACGGCTGTAAAGCCTTCCCAAATCACGACTGGAGCACATTTTCGGTGTCATTTTTCAACCCGGATCGATCTGCGAGGGTCCCGAGGCCCGAAACCGAGCGAAAACGCCCAGCGCGAAAAACATGCAACTCCAAAACCTCAGGGCATGCGCCTACCGTCACATGCCTCGCTCTCACCTTCCTGGTGCTGCATGCGACACCACGCGACCAGCCCGCGGACGCACCTGGCCGGACTCATGTCGACTCCTCCGACTCGGTTCGATCCGCCTTCGCTCGATTCCGATTCCGGATTTCGATCGCGACCGGGTCCGCGGACGCCCCCCCGACGGCCTGCTGGTGAGGCCGTGGCTCCGCAGCACCGCCTCGGGCGCACGGGTCGGGCTGGGGAGGCCGAAGGCCCAACTGCTCGACGCCGGGGGCCAACGCCTGAGAGGCCGTCGTGGAACGAGCAGGTCAGAGAATGCAAAGGTGCTGCTACCGCTACGCCTCGATTTCGCCTTCTGGGGGCCTCCTGGGAGGCCCTCGTCGCCACGGGTCAGAGGGCACCCCGGGCGAGGTCCTACGTGGAGTAGCGGTATCGCTACCTTTCGGTCTCCCCAGTACGGGCTACTTGGCCCGAGTAAGGAGGCATGCTGGATTCGGCTCGGCAAGCAGAAGCTTACGTCAGCCAGATGAGGCTGGCATAGACCCGAGGAAATGCTAGCGTTAGGTCGGGCATGTCCTCCTACAGGCGGATTCTGGGCGAAAACAAGAATTTGCCAGAACATACACAGGAATAGTTACAAACAGATCATACATCGTCCCCAGACTATGGTTTGGCTACTGTTGAACATTTACCCGACTCAAGCATAGACGCGAGGAGATGCTAGCGCTGGTGCTGCACCAAGCCTCCCAGGAGCTGCCAGTGAGACTGCGGCCGCGGGCCCGACGCAGCTCGCCCCCCGTCAAAGAGGGGGGGGACTCGGACTGGGACAACTCAGACTCGGCCTGCGTCTGGAGCCGTGAGGGTGCTGCAGGGTGGGCCCGAAACGCCTGGAGAATACCGGCGTGTGACACTGCGAGGTGGCATGTTGGCACGGAGCGAGGACGGCGGCGGCGTGCACCAACTGGTCCAAGCCTCATCCCAAGCGGTCCAAGGCGAGGGCACAGGGCCCGATTGCGGAGGCGCTCCGCCGATCCAGGAGCATCCGGAGGAGGAGAAGGAGAAGGAGGAGGAGGACGAGGAGTTGGAGGAGGACGACGACGAGGGGGTGGAGGAGGAGGAGGAGGAGGAGGAGGAGGAGGAGGAGGAGGAGGAGAAGGAGGAGGAGGAGGAGGGGGAGGAGGAGGAGGAGGAGGAGGAGGAGGAGGAGGAGGAGGAGGAGGGGAAGTGGAGAATGGGGGGATAAGGAGGAGGAGGAGGAGAGGGTTTCGGCTGAGGAGGTACCTGCACACCTTTTTGTCTTGAAACCCTAGGCGGCGCCACTGCCGTGGCCGCGTACAAGATTCCCTTAGTTGGCGATTCCAAGCATAGGCGCTTGCGCGCCGAGCGAACACGGAACAGAGCATTGCTGAGGGTGTACACGGCAGGTCTAGCGTTGCGCAGCCATCACGCAACCCCAAGAGATCGAATGTGGCAATGTCCCTCATGTCACACACATCTTCCAGTTTCTCAGGCAGTATGTGGATGCGGGTACAACTGGAACTCGCGCTCCAAGTCGCAGCCCATGCAGTCAAGAGAGAGGTCCAAGAGCAGAGACCCCTGGAACAAAGGCGACAAGGATACTGTGAATCAGCTCGTGGCGAAGATTGCGCCAGCTACCCCAGAGGTGGCGAGGTCGGAGGCCTTCAAGCATGTCTGCGTGAAGGCGCCCCCGGCAGAGCAGAAGGAAGCAGTGAACAAGCATCGCAAAGATATCAAAGAGAAGATTCGCAAGATCGGCATTCTCATCAAGGCTGCTGCCGCAGCGGATCGCCCTGCGAACGACGCGGACTGCAAGGAGATAGCTGTACTCAAATATATGTTGACGGAGAGCTCAGGATCAGAGAACCAGTTGTCCGAGGTCAGAATTCAGTTGGAGAAAGAGCAGGGTCATTTGCACGAGGTGCAGCAGAAGGAGGCGGAGGTGCGCGAGAGGCGCATCCAGATTGAGGAAACCATCCGAAACATTCAGGAGACGATCGACCAGCTGACGAAGTCGAAGGACGAGGGTGGCACGGCCGAGGGCGCCGACACGGAGATGCACAATGCAGAGGAGGGCGTTGGCAGGGCGCCTGGGAACCCTCATGCAGGCCCTGGGAGAGAGGCACCAGCATCTTCAGCGGCGCCAAAGGCAGCTGCGGCGAGCCATGCCGCGCCAGCTGTGCCAGAGAGCTCCAGAGAGATGGACTCGATTAAGGAGTGCCTCCAGCGTCTGACCGCGGCGCAGATGCAGCAGCAGAACCAGCAGGAGGTCATGATGAGGCAGATTGGCAACTTCCGCGGCCACCTGATGGACGAGGTACGCATGATGATGAAGGCCGCCCCCTGGACAGCTCAGGGGCCGCGGATGCCAATACAGGAGCCAGGGATGGGGAGTCAGCCATCGCCGACCACGCCGATGCAGGCGGGGCAGGTGCCAGGCATATCGCCTACGTCTACGGCGGCGTCTACTCCCCCTGGGCACCCGAACATATACGAGCAGATGCGGGCAGAGAGACATGCGGCGGGCATGGGGTTTCGACAGGCCCCGAGTCCAGCGGATGCGGGGATTTTCTGGGACCCAAGCACGACCCCAGCCGACTCGGACGCTGCGGAGTACCAGCAGCAGCTGAGGATGGCCAGGTTCCACCCGATGTACCCCAGCCAGTCGGCGCAGAGGTCGCCGACGTTTCCTTCGGCGCCCTTCACGCCCGCGCAGCCGCAGATGGAGCCCGAGACGCCTGGGATGGCGCCTTGGGATTGCCCGACCCCGCTGCACGATGTCCTGTGCACGCCGAAGGTCCCAGCGGGTGGCCCGTCGCAGGACGAGCCTCCGACGATCACGGTGCCAACCTCGGCGTGCCCGACGGATGCGTGCGACAGGACATTCGCCCAGATGCAGAACCCAGCGATGGCGGAGGTGACACCGTCGCCAGCAGCGACGGCGGCAGCGGAGTTGGCCCAAGCTCTCGCCGCAGCAAGCTTGGGAGGGCAAAACGGGGCGAGAGGGCACGCACCTCAGGGCCCAGCGGCTCTGCAGGCGGCGCCCACGACCCCCGCGGCCAGGAAGCCACCAGTCACGCCATCTACGATTCCACCAGGGCAGCCTTCGCCAGCCTCGCACCAGCATGGAGGCCTGCAGCAGCCGTGCGAGTCGCCGAGGGCGAAGGAGGCAGAGCCAGCGGCCGAGCCCGTGGGATCGCCGAAGAGGGAGATCTTGAGGCGGATCACCAAGAAGAAAGAGGACCCGAGGGAGAACAGGCAGAAGGGCAGCGTTCACCCGCACAAGGGCAAGGGCGGCAAGGTGGTGATGGTCAAGGACAGGCCAGCAGCGGACAAGGGCTGGGAGACGATCGAGGAAGAGGACGCCTCCATCAAGTACCCACAGCAGCCGTCCCAGATGTCGCCGACACAGCTTTCGTGCAGCCCGAGCAGACGGAGGAGTTGGCAGGGCCCGCTTTCTCCGTGACGGCGACGCCAGCGCCGACGCCTACGGTTACGGGATCACCAGGGACGCCCCAGTGCCTGCAGCCGTCACCGTGGCCAGTGCCGCCACAGCCAGCAGTTGCGATGTCACCGGTGTTGGTGGAGGCGTCGCCGACCCCAGTGGCGGAGATGGTCGAGCCGTCGCAGATGACGTCGCAGGAGATCAAGCAGCAGGTGGAGGCGATCGACCGTGCTGTGGCAGGGCAGGGGTGCTCGACCTCTGCATCGTCCAGTGGCATAGCCGCGGCGGACTACAAGACGACGGTGGACCAGCGAGTGGAAGGCAGGTCACCACCCCAGAAGTTGCAGCGGCAGGCGGATGTTATCGAAGAATAGGTAGCTTTTCGTCGCATCTGTGGGGCGCGGCGCTCGCCGACACGCACTGCTCACCGCCTAGCCACGGCCAGCACAACGGGGATCGACCCGCACAGCTGGCAGGTGGCATCGGCGGCAGAGGGTACCGATCGGCGGGAGGAAATGTGGATGTGGTTGGGTCAGTTTACCACGTCACACGGCAGCTTAATTTGGTCAGCGAAATTCTCACATCGTGGCCAGGTCGATCTTTCTTTGCAGGCAATTTGGAGGACGAGGTCAGCTTGATGCAACAGCAGGCCCGTGCTTCAGGGAGTGACGGTGGCGACCATGAGGAGGGTAGGCCCCATGAGAGCCTTGGCTGCCACCCACACTTTGGACCCTCTGGTGAGTTCGGAGGGTTATTGATATCCGACTCCTCATTCATGTTGCTCTATCAACGGCTTGTGGAGTTATCATCTGCCTGGGCTATTGAGGCGCACATAATTGGTGAGGAGGCCGCACATGCCAATTTCATGTATTGGGCAGTCCCAGCTGTCGTCCAGGAGATTTTCGCTCACCCAGTATACGACCCCATGTGGAACCCATCAGCTCAGAGATCACCCGAGGTCACCGAGAGGATGCGGCTGTTTGCTACGCGCATGCTGAGTAAGATATGGCGTGAGGGGGCTGTGGAGAGGCGGAGTTTCGCTATCCGTCAAGCTAGAGTGTGGTATGATGCATCGCCTCAGGAGTGGGGCAGATCCCTCAATCGCATGTGCGAGGAGCTGTTTGTCGCGAGGCAGCGCCTGATGATCATGGGGGACCAGTACCACCCCCCAGACTCACACAACATTAACGAAGAGGTGATCGTTGCTTTCGCGAGGCAGGTCGCGGAACACATCAGCCAGGATAGGCCCCCGGTGGTGCCTTTCTACGACCCGGCGCTCCCTGGCATGGAGGAGGCGATCCTCACAGGTGCGGCCGCGACGGGGACAGGCACGGGAGGCGCCAGCGCCTCCTCGGGCAGCAGCGGACCTGCTGCAGCACATGCGAGGCCTCAAGGCGAGGAAGGGCACTTTGATGCCCAGTCCTTGCTGCAGGTGAGCGTGACGGGTGCATCGCAGAGGGCGGCTAGAGCTACTTCCCTGAGGGCAGCTTCAGCATCGGTTTCCAGCACGACGGCGCTAGACTCACCCTTCCCTCTGGGTTGGGCAGAGAGCGCGCATGGAGCTAATGAACAGTCGTTTCCGACGCTATACTCACCCTTCCCCTCGGGTCGGGCAGAGAGCGCGCATGGAGCTGATGAACGATCGACTCCGACGCTATACTCACCCTTCCCTTCGGGTCGGGCAGAGAGCGCGCATGAAGTACCTCTTCGTGGCTCATCGTGGGTGGCAACTCCATGCAGGTTGGCTTCCTTGT